CCGGGAGGAACTGTAAAACTGGAATACAAAAAAGGACAGAAGGGCGCCCAACCTAGTGCAGATTATTTTTTATTTTAAAAGACACAAAGATAAAATTGCAATGGTACTCACAATGTAGGTTCATAAAACAGCTTGTGTGGATGTTTTGGAAGAAACAGCAGTTAAGACTGCAATCTGCCTGTGTGGCGGTGTTGACGCGTTTCCGGGGTCAAGCCCCCTTCCTCAGAACGTCTTTGCATTACAGGATAGTTAAACACAATAGCTGTCTCTTTTCCAAGTGTCTCGGCAACAGAGCAAAGATTCCTTCTCAATAATAATCCCTGCAATTAAAACTGTAATTACAACTGGCAAGCTACCCCAATATCTACTTCTGCACGTTTGTGCATCCTTTCTAAAGCTTCTCTTTATATAGTAAATAACTAAACGCTTATCATTGCCAATCAATCTACATTCTTTATGGAAGCTCCCTTGTATTTGTTTATTAGGCACTTTGTTTCAATTCTGGTTCTGAATTTTAAAACCCTATTTGGTTTGTAAATGCTTAAAGCCTCTCCAGGCAGCATGTGAAGCCAAATGATGAACTGGTAATACGATCCAACAAATCAGGAATATGTGGTGAAGTAAAAAAAAAGTTCACTTAGTATACCATAAATGTGAACTCTAGGAACAAAAACTTTCATATAAATACATTTCTCAATAACCACAAATGAAATAAATTCACTGTGTGCACCAGATGTTTTCGCAAATCCAGATATTGCCTTGGAAATGTAGCAGTGACATCTGTTGGTTACGTGTTTTAGATGACTCACTGAGATCTTGAGAAGTTCTTACTCAGAAGAATGTTGCATACATGTATACAGAAATACAGCATCCAACAGGAAACACACATATCACAGATAAGTATACATATTGAAAACTAACATAGACTATCATAGACTGGCTTTGCACTCCAGCGCCATCTAGAGCTCAAAAGACAATACTGCATTAGCAGTTGTATTTGCAACAACATCATTGTTGTGCTGTACACAGCCTGTGCAGAGATCGGAGCTGTAGGAGGGAACCAAAAAAAATACCAAAGGTTGGATTCAAGACCAGTCACCCTGCACAAGGAGAGAGAGCAGCAATGACTGGTCTTTATTACAGGAAACTCCTACACAGAGGAAAAGATTCACACCTAACCACTGCACAGATCTAGGAGAAATACTCAAAGCTTAAGACTCAGGTAAGAATACACATGCCTTTTTGTATTTAGACTATATGATTTTTCCTGTGATCTGCCACATCCTGAATCTAGAAAGCTCCTCACATGCAGGTGTTTAAATAATTTTCTGGAAATCTTGTTGATATTGCCAGTTGGATTCATGTGTGCAAGGTTTGAATGTGACTGGTGGCTATAAGCAACTTCATGCTCATAAACTATGATCAATTAGGGTTTCTGTATGTGAGCGATAGGAGCCAACAATGGATCTGTGTGAGGATAGATCTCTTGCATTAACGAATGTTAAGGCAAAAGGGTTTCCAAGATCACCAGATTTTGAACAAATGGGGCTATGCTGGACTTGTGCACTACAACGATAACTGAAGCTTTGGATAGGCAGGCTGTACTTGTATACATGTATGATTGCTAACTAATAATAATTGGCAACATTTTGAGTGCCACAAAAAATAGAAGTGGAACGGTGTGAAGCCAGCTTAATACAAAATTACATTTAACTATCACACATAGATGTTTATCTAAAATAAAAATAAAAACTTTGAAAACATAAGGAGTCATTTAAATCACACTTCAAGGCACCTATCAAATCAATCCTATGACATACTTGTCTTTTTGTTTCTCCTATTGAGAAGAAAAGGTTGTTGGCTTCCATTACAAGGAAATAGGCAAACCAAGACTGAAAGCGTACTGGTTGCTCGGCAATGGCTCGTTATATTTAGTGAGGCAGTTATTGATTACAACAGAACCATCTCGTTTTAGTAAGAGGAGTCCTTTTCTAATGTCTGTAGAATTGTGCCGTGCTTGGGGAAACACAACCACGCTATACAGGGTGTTTCACTATGGAAAGAGCCAAGAGACTTTAGTTACATCAGGTTCCTCGGGAACTGGGCCAGGTCGGTATACCTGAAGGACTTAATGTTCCGTAGCTCCCCTCAGGCTAGGAAACACTTGGTAATTATTCCAAATACAGGTTGCTCTATGCAGTGCTGTCCCAATCATTATAGACTGAAAGGATAATCCTGATGTATTCTTGATATTAAATCGTGTCATTTTGTATTAAGGTCTACATAGGGATATTGTTCTGCACTGCAATGTCAGTCTCTCGTGTCTATAATAAGCTGAAAGATGTTACTTTGCTGCCAAGATAGCAGAATAGACCTATACACAGAGCATGGCTTATAGCTGTGGTAGGCACATGCCGGGGCCTCCATGTGTGGTGAAACTTCAAAACCCATCATGCATCTGCCTCCGGTGTCATGCTTGCAGCTGTCAGTCTTGCAGTGCCTAATCAGATTTGTACTAAAGCTGGAGGGCCAGAGTTTGCCTTCCTCTGGAAAGGAATCATGTATGAATGGTGAATACAAAGGCTGTCATTACAAACTTCTTGCCTGTCTGCTATCAATACCTTTTTGGCATCACTGACCTAGGTCAAACATGCAGCTGGAGAAGGCAGAACCTCTGGTCTGCATACTTGTTGGGGTATGTGAGTTAAAGTATTGAAGACTTTAGATAAACATAACGGCTAGGCAACTATGATTTTTCAAAGGGGAGTGCAGCACTGGCAGTTTACTTATCAGTATAGGTGAATGTTCTTTTGCTTTCTTAAATGGAACCACTATTTAGCTAATAGCCTGCTACATATGAACAACACTGGTAATCGGCTAAATACATTTGAACTATATGTGTAAGCTGCCTTACATGGCAATAGAAATGGTAATTTTGGTCATAAAGTTGTCTACTCTGGCCCTTCTGCAAAGTCCTGGCAATGGCTTTTATCCACTGCAGTCAGTGGATAAAATAGAATAGAACTTGATCATGACAGATTGGGTAGTGAAGGAAGCACAGACTGTAGTCCATCACAGGAGCAAGCATGGAGCGGTGGCTACTGGACCACACACACACACAATCACACACACACACACACACACACACACACACACACACACACACGGGAACAAAAGTAGCCACCCTCCAGACACCCTGAAGGTCACTTAACTTAAATGATGTCTCTTAATTCGATCTTATTTCCTGTCCTTCAGCTTTCTCTCCAGCGCTGCGGCGGCTCTCCGATCCAGCGCAGACTCCTATCCAGCGCAGACTCCTCTGTCCTTGCTGGCACTTCCTGTCCTGCGGTGTCTGCATGCGGGTGCACGCCGTCCATAGACTTATCTTGTGTCTCTCCTCGTCTCCCGACCGAAAATCCGAACTGCGCATGCGCCCACCCCAAGATGCTTTGAGGCCGCCCGAGCATTTTCGGATTTTCAGACGGGAGCGCGTGGTGAAGACTGGGGTAAGTTTAAACCGCTTTTAAAGCGTTTAAAAAAAAAACACAAACTTTTGGACTATATTTACTGCTTGCTAGCAGTAGATATATGCAAAAAAACGGAGAGTTTAGGAATCCTTTAACTACTCTCCCAGGGATACCATCAGGGCCAACTGTCTTCCTTATATTCACTGCCTGAAGCAGTTCTCACTTCAAATTCCTTCAAAGTAAGTGTAAAACTACTAGAGGCTGACGGATATATTCTGTCACTGTCAGTTTTTTAACTTTAAAACGAACAAAGTAAAAATTCAGCTCCTCAACAATGGCAGCCAGGACACGGAGTGATTGGTCTTTAACATAGACACATACAGAAATAAAAACCTGACAAGGCTTTTAGCCCCACACTACTTTAGTGAATACATATCTGGATTAAATAGGTTTTGTATATGTACTATCACTTGCACTTAAATAGTGTGTCAGTTTTTTGCATTATGTTGTCTTCTGTTGAGCATTAAAAAGTGCAAAGTCATTTGGCATGTGACTATTGAGTGTGACCATAAACATCCCTATCTATACTTTATTGCAGATATTTTGACCCATAACTCACGAGTTTAGTTTAAAACACAAATGACTAAAGAAGACCTGTCATTAAAGGAATGTGTGGGCTGCTGTTGCTATTCACTTCTTATGAAAATGCTAGA